TCCGGTTGTAACATGGTGGTGGCAGCATCATGCTTTGGGAGTGTTTTTCTTTTTCAGAAACAGAGAGGATCGTCACAGGTGATGGGAAGATAAATGGCGCAAACGGACAAGCTGTTTGATACAGAAAAGTTCTTGACACTGAGCTGGAGGTTTACCTTCTAACATGCATACAACCAGGCAAGAAATAAATAAATGAAAATACTGGGAATCATCGTCAAAATTTGAAAGTTTATATTCATAGTCAGTCCAGGTTCACCAAGCGTTAGCCATTTTGCGAAAAGGAATGAGCAAAAACATCTGTTTGCATTAATAAAGTAATTCTCCAAAGTTTTGATTCAGGAAGGCTGAATACAAAGCCCATGTCGCACTATCCATATTTAAACAATGCTTGAATTATGCGTGACTTTGCCTGATCTGGACTACCTCATAAAATCCAGATAAAATCCACTGAATTTTGTTGTAATGTGACAAAATGGGAAAAAGAACAGCATACAGTGAGAATGTTTAATTAGCACCACAGAATCTGTTACTTTGATGACAAGGAACAACATTGATGATAATGGCACAGCTTCCCCCTTATAGAATCAACCACCTTGTCCAGTAATCTCTCTCCTCAATACTTAAGTCTCTCTGTTTCTGTCATTCCCTGCTGGATTCATCCGTTCCATGGTCTGTTAGTTTGCTCATGTCATCGACTGTTCCTCTGCCTGTAGTTCATACCCTGATCTTTGTAGGTTTCACTTTCTTCCATGGCAAATTGAAAACAAGGAACGTATAAGATTAAGAATGATTCAAAGCCTTTTCTCTTAGTGTTTAACCGTGCTTGTCTGAAGAACTGCAGGAAGTTAAAGAGATGGTTCTGCATGGAGTAATAAAAAACAGATTCAATGGGATGTGGACAGCAGGTAAGGATAGACCCCTGGTTATGTCAATTCACAAGTCACCCAATGAGTCCCTGTGCGTTACAGCAGCTCTCTACGACTGACGTTACAGACCCCTGAGTTAGGCAGTGACACTAAATGAATACAAAAGGAAATGGAGAAATGAGTTAAATAGTCATGAGCTGAACGCTACTGAAAAAACCCAAAACACATGAATTCACTGAACTACAAAATAAGATAAGTGAAAATTTACAACTACTTACTTACAACTGAACTCAAAACCCTTAAATGATTACAAGTAGAGGTTGTGTGTGAGTTTGCATTATAATCCAAAAGAAAATAGGTGGTTTATATGAAGTCAACAGAGAGCCTGCTTACTTTTAATGTAGCCGAAATGAAGAGTATTTGAGGTTAAACTTAACAGGAAGTTAGGTGTTTTTATTATAAGTTATATTGCTTATTTCCTCTCTGACAGTCTATTCAAACTGTACCTAAAGATATCAGATTTCCTGATCTTTAAAGAGTAGTTAGCAGTCTGGGTGCATATACTTCTCCTTGGCTAAATATGGCTGACAACCTCCTCCTCTGTGTGGCCATTGGGTCACTCTAGGTGACGGGCTCTACTGGGGGACACTGTGTCTTTGCCCTGGGGCGATTAGAGGGCTGACTGACCTCGTTCTCAGAGGAGCTGGTGTGTTTTGAGTAAACATTTGGTGCGAGATGAAAACACTGGCTGCAAACACGGGCCAACCCTCAGCCGGTGATCCCATTGTTTCCCCATTACCCCAAAAGAGGCAAAAGAGATGAGAGCCACCACTCTGTTTATTCAGATCTGCGGGGACTCCTCCTGCTCTGTAGAGGCTGCATTTATCACAGAGCCAGGTCACTCTTTCAGATGTTTCCCCAGGTCATCACCAGGACCTTCATAATCATAAAAATGTCGTTAAGTTAACAACTGATCTATTTTTACCAACATCACATTGACAATGCATGGAATAGGAGGATATGGAGAGTCATTTCAGCCAAAACTAAATAACTAAATAAATAAGTGAGTAAAATAAATAAATAAATGAATAATTGGCATCTTTTTGCTCATGTCTGAAGAACTTTATATTTATATCTATTCATTTTATTTATTCCCAGATTTATTTCTTCCTGGCTGTTTTTCATTTCCCTATTTTCCCTTGTCATTTATTCTTTTTCAATTTTCCTTTTTCATTTATCCTTTTCCATTTTCTAATTTTAATTTATTATTTTCTGATTTTTATTTTCATGTATCTGTTTTTCATTTATCCATGTTCATTTCTCCCTTTTTCATTTATCTATTTTTCATTTATTTTTCATTTATCCATTTTTCATTTATCCTTTTCCAGTTTCATTTATCCTTTTTAAATTTTCCATTTTCATTAATTCTTTTTCATTTATTCTTTTTCAATTTCCTTTTTTTGATTTATCCATTTTCCCCAAAATTTATGGAGAGCCATTTCAGCCTAAATTAAATGGCTCTCCATACATGGTGTATTATGCTGTCACAAAAACTTAGGGAAAAAAATGCCTTCCTTACTGGAAGGCATTTTTTGACTTCAACATGTAGGGAAGAGAGACATTATTGAAAACCTAAAAGCTTAAAATAAAAATGTTTCTTGTGTTCAATTAATTTGATTCATCAAAGCTTACCTGGTTAAATAAAGTAAAAAAGTAAGGACATGCAAATTTGCATCCATTTTCACTGGCTCTGAAATGGCAGGTACTTTTGATGGGAAATATTTAACTGTGATCAAATCCAATGTTCCACCTTCAATGCGACATGTTTGCTGTACAAACCAGATGAAAAATAAACAAATCTGTTGGAGGGAAAATGTAAAAGTAAAATAACAGCAACAACTTGATTGCATATTAATTTTCACTATTTGCCACATAACCAAAATGTTTCAATTGGGTTTAATGTAAAAGATCAACAAAAAGATGTATTTATTTGGAGTTTATAGCTTGCACTTTGCAACTTTGTCACTAGAGGCCACTAAATGCTAAATACTGCTCCCATAACTTCAAAAATAATAGCTAAAACACCCATTAATATTTTTGCTCAAGATTTGTAAGTCAACCAGAACAAATACAGAGAGGGGTATTCTAACCATTCAGCTCCGCTTGGTTTGATTAACTCACCTTTACAGATTCTGATCTGAATGAAAGGGTCAGCCAATAACCGCTGGAGATATCTTCAAACACCACACTGCTTGCCTTACACTAAGTCTAAAAAGCAAAAGGAGTAAATTCACACTTAGGTGGAAATGTCATGTCTCTGTCTTTAAATAAACATTAAAATAAATATCTAGATATAAAAAACTAGTTTCCACAGTCATTGTCTTTCAGTGTACTGATATGCCCTTCATTATCAATCAACAAACCACTGTGGATGAGTTGAAGGCGCTCTGTTATTATGATCACCACCAGCTGCTCCTTGCTCCTCACTCAAGGGTCACACTGTCAACTACAATTACACCATCATCATCATCATCATCATCATCATCATCATCATCATCATCATCATCATCATCATCATCATCATCATCATCATCCCGCGAATCAGTTTTAAGTTGAGGAAGCAGCCTGTTCCAACGTCACAACCCCGCGGGCTTTAGGACCTACTGGATCCCCTCTCTGAGGACGGTCTTGTTTTTGTCCGTTACCTTCATGCATGTAATCATTGATTGTGCCTATTGTGACAGGCCATCTGTAGGGTCCCATGGGACTGATACTGCCGATAGTGCGGTCTATCCTTTATTTCCAGTCACAGTTTAACCTCCAACTGGTTTCATATTTTCACCTGCATTAAAAGTCCAAACCAGCTGCGCCCGACGGCTGTTTTATAGGATTTCATAGATTTATTTATTTGTTCGCTATTTGCTCTGATTTACTCTAAAGCAGAACAAGTTCTAAAAATGCTGGAGCAAGATTTCATGCTTGATGTTGAACTGTACCAATTTAAAGAGAAAATAAATTAATAATAATAATAATAATAATAATAATAATAATAATAATAATAATAATAATAATAATAATAATAATTAATGAAACCTATCAAAACACTGTCAGATTAACTTAGAAGTCCTAACGGCTTGTTTTGTTTGTTTGTTTGTTTTATAATTATTACAATCACCATAATAATTAAGAAAAAATGCAAATAAATAAATATAGTTACTTTAATTTCGTAACTGTTACAAACTTTTTCAAAACATGAGAACATCCATTACATTTTTTAAACACCCTGTTTTGTATTGCAGACCGGTCTGAGGTGTTTGCCGCCTCCCGCTGCAGCAGCCCACTCTGCCCCCTTCCCTCCCTTTACCCGCCTCCCGGGCTCCTTTTTCCCACTGCTGAGAGGAGCAGGACGCGGCCTCTGCGGCGGGAAGCAAGTGATCTACAAGCACTTCCTCAAAGGAAGAAGAAGAAGAAGGAGGAAAAAAAAGTTCACACTCATATACACAGATGCCACCACAAGTTGCAGCATTTCCGAGCCGAGCGAAGTAACTCGAGGGAATAAACAGGAGAGGAGGAGGAGCACCACATACTCAATGATTAGCCCTTTTTATTTTTATTTTTGAGGATCGTCTGGGTCAGCTATTTCAAAATAAAATCCAACTTACCTACAAAAACTCAGCAGGTTAAAGGACTACAGTGATGCTTTCTTTTTTCCCTACTGAGACGCACCTGTGCGCCACTGATGAGGCAAGCGTATAGGTGATGAAAAAAACGGGGAAACCTGTATGAAGATGCACGAATTCCTCCAGTTAGTCTTTCATCTGAAAGGACCGAGCCTTCATTATGGATTACTGTCCGAAAACTAATGCAGAAAACGTGATTTTGACAGTTTGCAGCTTTATGTTCAGTCGGAAGCGCGCACCAGTTTCCCGTAGGATATATATAAAAAAGTGAACATCAGACCTGATTTTCTAAACCTGCAGGTAAAGTTCTGGATGCTGACAGACTGTGCAATAACAGCTGTGAAACTCTCCGGGATCCTCCTGCCTCGGGGCAACAAGAGCGCTCTGCTCGGGTCTCTACTGCGCATGTCAGAGTGCTGGACAGCTCCAGAGAGGGAAATTTAAAAACGGCTTTAGGAGGAATCAGGTCCAACACAGTGGGATACAGTAGAGGGGCTCAGGACCAGCTCACACCACCTTCAATACAAACCAAAACAGGTAGGATTATTCAAGCGATGTTTCTACGTTTCTAAAGACTAGCGAAATATTAAGATGAGGTTATTTTATTAACTTCAAATATTTTTTACAGTTAAACTGCATCTCCTTATTGCAAGAAAAATGTCATGCAATGAAGAACCAAAAAAAATTATAGCATGTTTAGAGAATGGCCATCTATAAAGTCATATGTAAGCATACGCGGTCTGTGTTTTGTGTGGAAATAAAGGTGGAATTAGAAAGCAGTTGAGATTTAACTGCAAAAACAAAACAAAAAAAACATTTATGCAAACAGAAATGTTGTGCAATTGAGCATTAAAAAGATTACAAGTTTTATATTTTTTCATTGTAACATTTTTATTTTCATTCCTATTTTGATATTTTATTTTCTGTTGCCTTTTGGGGATTTTTATATGCGCTGTGAAACATATTTTTCATGTTCATGCACAGATCATCATTGCATTTGACAGTGCAATGATGAGTCCATCTACGTAGCTAGTTATTTATTTTTTTTAATATAAACTATGAGTGTAAATAATTGTATATATGTCATGTGCTGCAGCAAAAGGCTACAACACATCCCAGGAAATGATAGAAGGTGGAATAACTTCCAGGATGTCAGGAATAATTGACAATGCTGGGCATCATCCATCACCACAGGACTACAGGTATTATTATTATTATTATTTTTATTTTTTATTTATTTATTTTTTTACATAGTAAAGCATATTTCAGTACGGAAATATGTAAGGAGATTTTATGAAACAGACTCTTTCGTGGTAGAAATTATTACAATCCACAATGTTAAAACAAGAGTTGGATGGACAGCTCTTTTTGTGTTTGAAGGGATTCCGTGAAAAGAAGAGAAGCAAGAAAAAAAAAATCCAGAAGAATAAATGATTTTCACTCTGAATAGATCTGTCAGAAACCATCAGCTCTGTTTACACTCCTGCTGTCTGCGCACGGAGAGCCCGAGCCTCTGGGCTGCCCGGCTCAGGGGGAGATGGGGCTCTCTGGGTCACCAGTGTGCACAAGTGGTTCCCAATTAGAAAAGAAGGAGCAGGGGTGGGGGTGTGCTGTTGCGGTGAAGGAGGAGGAGGGCCAATATTTAGAGTTGTTGAACTCAGGGGTAAGGTTAGGATGAGACATGGAAACACCAGCTAAATTTTTTGCATCAGTGAGCAATTTCCATGCTCTGCGAGGGACAGAGAGGGTGTGAGAACATCCCTAATTTGTCAACTGTTGAATGGTTTCTATTATTACATATTCATCTGTTGTAGCAAAGGATATTTTTGAATCCAAAGAATGGAAAATTTATAATTAGGACCTTGGATTTATCAATTTTGTCACCCTTTTTTTAAAATTAAAAGTAATAATAAATCACCTGTGAGAAAAAATGTGAAAAAAAAAAATTATGGGAACAAAAGAGTGATCTGGGATGTGAACTACCAGCGTCTTGGATATCTGGTGGTGATTCCTGGCATCAGTGATGTCAACACATTAGACCTGACCTCAAACTACATTCACGCCCCCCGTCTCCCCGCCTGAGGCCCGTTGAGCTCGCCGTTAGTGTAGGGTGATGGTGGGGGGGCTGGGAAACGGGGGGGTCCAGTGCGGATAGGGGCTGGAAAGGGACAGGAAAGCAGATGGCATCCTATTTGTCCCTCTTATGTGAGGGCTGTCATTCCAGCAGATTAATGCAAGGGGCCGGGCAAAGAAAAGAAATGACAGAGACAATCAAGGAAGGCTCCAGGGAAGACAATAGAGACACGTGCCACTGGGCAGATTTGTCGTTTGGGACACAATAGGTGATCATTTTTCAATAGATGGGGCCAACTGTTTCAGGCAACATGTGCCGCCGTCCCATGTTTCAAATGATCTCATGTGTTGTTTACTTATGATTCAGCCAATGGGTGAGGCGAGACCGTGGTCACCTGACACAGGACTGTTTTTCTTTTTTTCTTATTTGAAGATATGCTGGGTGTCTAGATGTAGAGGGGGTGGGGTACTGCTACGCTGTCCGCAGACCCACGAGGTAACCGAATTGTCTGTGTTGTCATAGAGACTCAAACTGCAGAACGTTGTGTGTTTGCTGCGAAGGCTGAAGAGGACTCAAGAGGATTCCTCTCCTTTCATTTCTTCTCTTCAAGCCTTTCCATTTAAAAAAGACGTAACTGTAGGCCAACCGGTTAAGCAAAAAAATAAAAATCAGTTTAGATTATAATTTATCCAAGAATTTGTAAAAAACATCATTGCTTTAAAAATATTAAAAGTAGAAGCAAACAAAAAAAAAAAAAACGTGCAGGTCAAAACAAATAAGTTCACACGGTTAATAAAGTCACAGAACTTTATTAATTAATTTAAAAAAAAAGCTGATTTAACTCCCTCATTGTTGATTAAGACTGTCACTTCTAAATAACCCTTGTGTTTAATCTTTTTATGCTTAATCCTGAATTGCTAAAACAGAGCTCTGCTCAGCAGCTTTCATCTCCTTGTTAAGACCCTTCAGATGGTTTTGTCTGTCAGGGATGAAAATACTCCATCCGAGTGTTCAGATTTAAACTCCCCTTCTGATCTAAGTGTGCCTGAGCTGACAGCCATGTTAACCCCACAAAGCTCATTCCCATCCCCCTCCCTCCTCACTTGAAGGCTTCTGACCACGGACCCCTCCCAGCTGAGGGTGGAGGACCTCCCTGGGGACCTGCAGTCCCTGTCGTGGCTCACCTCGGTGGACATGCCCCGGCTACAGCAGATGGCTGATAACAGAGGCCACAGCAATGGACCCTCCCAGGGCAGTCTGCTGGAGCAACAGACAGGTGAGGGGACAACATTTCAAATCTGCACCAGCTCTCTGATTGGATAAATCAGCACAGATTTATTCTCATGGATTAGTAGTATGTTATTGGCTCCCAAACACATAAAAACTTTACACCTTGACCTTTTAATCTTCATCACATAAAGAGTAAAAGCTAGTGTATAGTTCTGTGTTCATTCGGCCTTCTTTAATCTGTCGCCTCCAAATAAAATCTAGTCTAGATGCCCTAGTAGATAAAGTTCTTCCTTGTAAAATTTTATCTCAATATAAATCCAACTGTCTCTGAAGTTCTTTAGAGAACAGTGAATAAATATCATACCGAAGACCAAGGAACAGGGAGAAAGTTGTAGAGAAGTTAAAAACACAGGAGAAGGGGAAACATTATGCCGTCTTTCAATATCTCGTAAAGCATTTTTCACCATTGGTCACTCAAAAATGACCGTGGCACAACTGTGAACCAATCAAGACATGGACATCTACCTAAATACAGAGGCAGGATAAGGAGAGCAGGAATCACAGAAGCAGCAAAGTCTGGAGGATCTGCAGATATACACAGCTTAGGTGGGAGAAAGTATCAGCTGCACTGGTATTGGTGATCTACTCCATAAATCACATGCAAAAAAGGAGTGTGTGGAAGAAAACTAAGAAAACTAAGCTGCACATCATTGAATAGGCACTGTGCCAGCAGGAAAAGCTGTGGTAACAGTATCATGCTGTGGGAGGGACAAGATGGAGTTGCTTGGAGTTGAAGGAAAAAACGACGAAGGTCAACAGAGGTCAGGCCTGGAGGAAAAGCAGTTTGTGACGGCAAAAGGCCTAAGGCTGCAGCAGACATTCACCTACCAACAGAACAAAAAGACACAAATACACAACCACAGCTGCAGTAGAATAGCTGAGTTAAAAGCTTTCTCATGCGTTAGGTTTCAATTATAGACCAGATCTAAATCTACTTGAGAAACTGTGGCAAGACTTCAAAATACATGTTCAGAGTTGCTCTCCACTCCGTACGAATGAAGTTGAGTTATTAACAAAAGTGTCCAAGAGAACGAACACAGATTTCCTAAACTACGAAGCTGGATGGAAACATACCCTAACAACAAACCAGCTATTTTTGCAGCAAAACACGATTCAAAGTTCTGAGTCAGGACATAAATGCATGGTCACTTTTCATATTTTTATTTGTGAACGGTTTTGTGAACATAGTTTCATTTCACTCCCTCTTCAGATTTAAGCACGTTCTTCCACAACAAGAAATGCAAATAAAATAGACTGAAGTTGTAACTCGACAAAATGTGAAATAATTTAACCGTAAGATCCGACAAAGCCGTAGTTTGTATTTCTGGAATTACCATCCATCCATCCATCCATCCATCCATCCATCCATCCATCCATCCATCCATCCATCC